AATGCTGACGACTTCGGGTTTTTCAGGAAAAAATTGCCTGAAAGAACCTATTTAGCTAAAGCTTGCATATCGGCTAGTGGTCATAAGGTACAGAAAAGTCATATAACAAATCTTTTCTATTGCAACGCTTCACGCGAATATATAATGAAACATTGGTTATTAAAAAATCAAAAACACAACACTCATTTAAAGGAATAAATATAAATAACCTTCTCGTTTGTTGGATGGCCAATAAGAAAGCATGGGTCATAGCTTTCAGTGAATGGTTTCATAACATGTTTGTCCCAGGTGTCAAAAATTATTTAAGTAAAAAGGGATTGCCTTTTGAGGCTCTTCTATTAACTGATAATGCACCTGGTCATCTTCAAGATTTACAACATGAAAATGTAGAAGTAGTCTTTTTACCAAAGAATACAACTTCCTTATTACAGCCATTGATAAAGGAATAATTTTGACTTTTCAGGCATTGTACATCAAACAAACCTTCAGGTATATTTTAGAACCAATGCAGAATGATGAAGCTCGTACTCTTATGAATGCTTGAAAGAAATTTACAATCTTAGATTGTGTTAAGCATGTTGAACTGTCATATACTCAGATTAAACAATCAACGTTCAACACATGCTGGGAAACAAATATGGCCGAATGCTGCTAAAGATGAGAATAAACAGATTACCATTAGAGCATGAATATTCTCAGATCACTAAATTTACCCAAACTATTAGAGGAGAAGGTTTTGAGAATTTAGCTCAGGCAGATATTGAAACAAATAAACATGATAAAGACAATAATTCTGATGAAGAGCAATCTGATCCAGTTGCGTTCACAGGAAGAATCATCAGCGAAGGACTTGAACGTGGAGGAAAATTAGGTAATCATTTTTTACAATATGACACGAATGTTGAACGAGTTGTCCGATTCCAAAGGGAGCTTAGTAAGTGCTTAAATCAATATGTGGAGGTTTACAAAGACTTAGGAAAAAAAACCTAGGCATTTGTTAATTACGGATTTCACTATACAAAGTCTTGACAAACTGAGATCTTCCCTAATTCGTCAACCATTGAAGCAGAATCTTATCAAAAAGCTCAGGTGATGACACTGACATCATATCAATCAAGAAGAAAAGCCTAATAGTTCATGAAAGTAATGACAATGATTAAACTTATAATATTTTTGGAATGATCTTATATTTTCCTAATGCAAAATAAATTAAATATGTACTTCCATTACCTACATACATTTGTTATTTTATAAACAAAGGGCAACTTTATTTATTTTAACATGTGTTACTTTTTTAATGTAAATGAATAACTAAATTATGCACATTTAGTGTGTTTTTCATTTTACATGGTTTTACATAGCAAAATCCAAGATTTCGATTTAGTGTGTTTTTCATTTTACATGGTTTTACATAGCAAAATCCAAGATTTCGATTTACACGGTTTTGTGCGGAACTTATCTTCCGTGTAAATTGAGGGATAGGTGTCTACAGTATTAGAAACGTATTTATTTAACTGGTATAATTACGATACTTGTTTCAAAATGCTATTAAGAAATATTGGTAAAATTGCTTTATTTGCTGTGTTTCATTTGCTGTGGCAAATAACATACTTTTATATACATCATATCAATACAGGTGACGATCAAACATCACACTCACGATACAAAGCATCAGGTTTTATTCCTTTTTTATAGAAGAAAAGATAAACGGAATGAGTATGTACAAATGGATTAAATATGTTTAGGAGAGTAATCACACTGGTTCCACTATGGAGATGTAAAAGTCACAGCTGACCACCTACATGCGGTCACTTTAGATAAGTTCTAAGTCCGATCGCCTACGCGCGACCAGTAAGCGTCTAGTTGTAGCTCCTTCGCGAGCGTTCTGTCGGACCGCTTCTCTCGGACTTCTCGAACCAACTGAAGATCCTGGAACCTGGAGAGTTCCTACAAAATAGAGATAGGTAGCGACATCTGGTGCTTCGTTGAGGCACGATTCCCACACGCTCAGCCATCGACAGGTGAGGACCTCCGAACACTTGAATACATCTGTAAAACACAAAATACTAAAAAAAAAAAAAAAAAAAAGAAAGAAAGAAAGAAAAAAAAAAAGAAAAAAAGAAAAAGAAAAAGAAAAAGAAAAAAAATAAAAAAAAAAAAAAAAAAAAAAAAAAAAAAAAAAAAAAAAAAAAAAAAAAAAAAAAAAAAAAGAAAAAAAGAAAAAGAAAAAAAAAGAAATAAAAGAAAAAGAAACATTTGAAAAATAGTTTGCAAAATGATCTCAAGTTGCGATGTCATCAGATCAAAGCTTCATGTGGTTTGCCGAAGTGGAAGTTGCTTCAGGTCCTTCATGAGATCCTACTTTGGCTACATCGTATCGATCATGTGGCTTAATCTTGATCACTTTATAAGGTCCTAGGAATTTAGGTCTTAGCTAGAGACCGCCTCCTAACTGGGTTCTTTTAATGGCTACTAAGTCGTTGACTTTGTAGAGTGGAGCGGTTCTACGACGTCAATTGTATTGTCGTCGGTTCTCCTCCTGCAGTTTTAAGATATTCACTTTAGCCTCTTCACGAATAGAATCTTTCTCCTGGATGGTGGAGTTCAGGAATTCTTCATCGAGAATTTCTTTAATTCTTCGGTCTGCCTTATTTCTCATTTTCACGCCTGTCATCAGCTCGAAAGGAGTGAATTTCGTTGATCTACTGACAGTGCTGTTGATGATTCTTTGGACGTCAGGCACAAATTTGAACCATTTGGCAGGATCATCTACTGACAGTTTTGCAAGCACTGGGATTAAGGTTCCATGAATTCTTCGATCTGGCCGTTGGCTCTTGGAACACCTGTTGTGATTTGTATGTGCTGAATTCTACAAAATAGAGATAGGTGGCGACATCTGGTGCTTCGTTGAGGCACGATTCCCACACTTATTCTTCGTCGACTGTAAGATTTTCAATGGACAAGAAACGCTAAGTAAAAAGGGAAATACTTACCTGGCATGTTAAAACGCGATAGAATTAACGAAGTATTTGATGAATAGCTAATTACTTAGTTGTGATTTTTAGTTAAAGTTCTAAAATACTTATCACAACCATATCCCTCACAATGAACAAAATCATTGGCCCAATCTGATACTGTATGTTTTACCAGTTTAAAAAGTCTTTAACTCGGAAATAAATGAAAGAGATAACTAGATATTATAAGTTAGCATCATTAACTCAGATAAAAAATTGCTTTTCTTAACCTTAAAGTCTTTTGAAATAAAAAAATCTGATGTGTACACCACATGACTTCCTTGTACGGAGTATTAAATTATATGCATTTTTTCTTGCATTTCATTTACACTTATTGGGTTGAATTAAATCTACTTCATCGACAGCGCATAAACCACAATAGAATAAATGCACTCTTTAAAATTCACTATATTTTTTTACCATAGCGACACTTTGGCGCTAAGTTCACTTAATATTTCGTTCATATTATAACCCAGAATGCGCAAAATTTATATTATTTGAAGAATTATATAATCGTTGCACACATGTTCTATTCAAATACAATAATAAAGCTAGAATGATTTATAAAAGAAATTAAGCAAGCAAAACAAAAAAGAAACAGCTTTTCACAGACGATTTAGTATTTCTCATTCAATTAACTCAGTTCTCAGTTCGGGACAGGGCAAAAATACATGAAAACTCAAAATATCTGTATTAAAAATTAAAGTAAATCTTAAACACTTATTTCCTCGAAAAAATTCCAGAAAGAATTAAGCATGATTTAATTCGCAATAATAAATGAAGGCGTTATCTTTCTTGTTGCGAATCTCAGTCTCTCTAGATTGGCAACAAATTCTGCTGTTCAAAATGTAAACAAATATGTCCGCCATGTTATTAAATTGTTGATAATTGTACAAATATTGCTTCCAGATTTACGAAATGCATAAAAATCTTAACCAGAAGATAAGAACAACATGACTCAATCACTTTTAAAGCAAAAAATGTACAAGTTACAAACATATAATAGTAAAGAAACTGAGATCACTGAGCTGAGTAACAGAGTGGATATATATAAATATATTTATATACGTTTGGTGCGGCCGATTGCAACTAAAATACGAGGTGCACATCTACATGTTATAGCAGTCCTATGTACAAAATTTCAACGTTCTGAGGCTACTCGTTTTTGAGTTATGCGAGATACGTACGTACGTACGTACAGACGTTCGTACAGACGCCATGAAAAATTCACTTCAGAATTCATTTTAAAGCAGTTTTATAATTTTTTTGGAGGAAAAGAGTATTTTATTCTGTCCTTAAGTAGAGCTATCACGCAAAAACATCGTTAAATTACATTCGATAGCGGTCAAAATGGATATTTTCGTTGAAATATGCTGCCTGAAACTTTTCGCGATTACAGTACTTTACTTTTTACTTTTTACTTAGTACAAGGAAGTAAAAAATGTGCAGAGCTCTAAAAATCTTACATTAGATCAATAAACGAAATATTTTTTCCTCATCGCCTACATTAATTTAAGCGTGAACGAATCAAAAATGTGAATCACGAAAGTTTACTTTCCATAAGTTAGGTAATATGCTGAGCTTTCAGGAAAATACTTAGGATAAGCATTCCGAAATATTCAATAACTATAAAAAAATCTGATTAAGAGATGTTTCTGCATAGTCTATGTATTAACTCGGAAAAATGTTTCCGTTTCAGTAAAAGTACGTATCAAAGTATTTTTATTGGAGCTCAGTGAATGTCAATCCTTATGTTTTTAATTCCTATTGCGAAAGAATATGCAAGAAAATGCTATCGATAATCATAATTCTTTTTCCCGCCAATATGAAATTTTTTTCAGACTGATTGAAAACTTTTTTTTTTCTTAACTTTATAAACCTTATGTACATATAGCAAGATTTTATTTCAAAGTTTCACTGTTATAGTGATAAAATTTGTAGTAGGAGTTGAAAAATAGAAACGTATAATTCTCTCTTTTTTCCCAGGGATGATGGTTTCCGGTTTCATATTACGTAATGTTCCACATATAAACGTTGCTGAAGATATACCTGAGGACTGGGCAGGTAATATACGGTATGTAAACATCTACATCTTAAAACACCCAAACCTCAATTTTCCTTCTATACATTCTAGATAAAATTCTAATAATTTTTTGGCAATAAATCCTGTTATCATTGAATTAAAAATACTTCGAATATTCATCTATCAGCAACTTTTAAAATGATTAATTTACAGAAGCTTTCATATTCATCACACAAAATTTTTATTTATCAAATTGTAAAGACATTAGGTATTTTGGAAGCAGAAAGAAGTGAAAAATGAGCAACGCATTCGCCGAGAATCTAACCACAGACCTCTGGAATACGCACCCAGCGTGCTGACCACTACACTAAGAAGGCTCGCTAAGGAGGTAGGAGAAATACCTTATATACTCCCCCTTTTAAAGGGCGATTGGGGTTTCTAGGAGACCCAATCGCCAAACCCAAGGTGTGGAGATTCATCATCCACTACCCTTTTAGTTCGAGCGCCACTTGTAGACTTGTAGAGACATTAGGTTATTTCGAAGCATAAGGGATGAAAAATGAGCAACGTCTTCGCCGAGAATCTAACCACGGACCTCTGGAATACCCGCCCAGCGTGCTGACCACTACACTACGAAGGCACGCTAAGAAGGCGGGAGAAATACCTTATAAAACACTTTAAAAATATTGAAAAATGAACAAATTATAATCAATATTTATATATCAATATAATAATGTTACAAATCTATAATCAATATTTTTACTATTTTCAAGAATAATACCTCAACTAATTTTTGGCTAACTACCCAAATTATTATTTAATTGAGTTTTTCCCTAATTTTGCTATGTTTAGCTTAAATAATTTTGGTAAATTTAGCCTAAACTTTAATTTACTCAATCAGTTATGCGGAATAAAGATATAAATCGTCAGGAAAAAATTCTTCAACAACTTTTTATTCAACTCAAAGTGATATTAAAGGTGAGAATATAATTCTAATCGTGGTAACGTTCTTCTTTATAATAAGGTAATAAATTCAAGAATGTAACATTCGGGCATTCTAACTTCTTTTTAAATTGGATTGACTGTTCTTTCTAGAAACATGGCTCTTGTTCTCATCCTCCTTCGTGCTGGTCTCGAAGTGGATTCAGATGTTCTCAAATCAAATAAAGCTACATGTTCTAAGCTAATTTTCTTTCCTTTCATTGTGGAAAGTTGTACTGGAGCAATAGCGTCTCATTATTTATTGGAATTGCCATGGATATGGAGTTTTCTACTGGGGTAAGTCATCTTATTGAAAATAAATATCTTTTCCATTAAGATTTAACTTAAGGAGTTATCGAATACTATTTGGTGATGAATAGCGCGAACATCATAGTCACTTTTCCTATACATCAATGTAAAAGTATACCTTTTTCGAAGGGATTCAAAATCAAGTTCTTACTTTTTTTTATAATAGTATTATTATTCCAATCCCATGTAATTCTTATCGAGAAATTCTTTTCCTGTCATTAAAGTTATGTTAAAAGGAAAATAAAATAATAAAAATGCTGACTTGCAGAAAATACACATCTTTCTATTGGCCAAATATATTAGTTCGGATTGTGCATGCGTGTTTGTACTGAGGATAGAGCTTAGTATGGCAAAGCATAATTTCTGCTTATCGATGTTTCTTAATATCTGGAGTTAATGTTCACTGCTGAAAACTGATAGAACTCTTTGAAAAGCAAAATTCTCGTTAATGATTCTAAGTTTCTTTGAAAATATAATCTGAATGTTACAATCAGATAATCTACTTACACATCCTTGCATTAATGATTGTTTCATAAAACAACTGCATGCAGCTGAAGTCAATTTGAAGTTAAAAGTTGCCTACTTTTAATTTCAGATTAACGCACCTCTTTTTTGTGAGCATAAGTTATTCAGTCATTAAAACGGGATTGAAAAGATGGCTGCAAGATTTTGCGAAAATGTTTTAGAAAGCCTGACAATAAAATACAGCTGTGGTGAAAGAAATTAATCGAAATTTTCAATCATTTTTCAGTATTCGATACGTTAATCCTTGAATCTCTAATATTTTTCGCAGTCATTATTCCTTGTTTTCAACCCTACTGTGCATTACTTCCGCCGCTTTTATTCATACCGCTTTCTTTATTGGGTCGAATCCTACGTTTTCTTTACTCGGTCTATTTCTCTGCTAATTTCTTGTAAGGTTTTAAGCTAATTAGCCAGTTATTATGATTTGACCTTCAATATCATTTCTTCTTTCTGTGGTCCTCCCCAGAACGCAAATTAGTTATTCTATACTTAAGCCGAGGTTTGAATGTTTAGAGTGTGGGCTATTGGCAGCCTCGTCTTGCTATTATGCATCATTGCCAGCTCTCCCGAAGTTATTTAACAGGATGCTAGCCGACGCTTAAATACGCACCGTTAACTGTCATGAGCCAGCTTAAGTAGTTGTTTATCGTGTGTGTTGTATTACACTATGTTATCTTACTTTAATACCTGCAAGTAGCGGAGGTTCGTCTGTCGCACAAGCAAAGTGTTTTTTTTTTTTTTTGATTTTGACATTTTTTTTGATTGCTACTCTCGACTCTCAACTTACCTAAGATCACATAACCAAATTCGGAATTGCAGACGGAACACGTTATGACCTAAGACAAATACAGATTAACGCTTATAAGTCGCAGTTAATCTATCTGAGTTTCATTATCCTTCACCTGCTCTTAAGTTTCAAAACCTTCCGAGCTAAGAAAGTATGTATGACATAAACCAAAGAAAAGTCAGGACAGGATTTAAATTAAGCGTGACTGTTAGTGAAACTCAAAAGTAATTGTCACAAGTCTATTTTTGTTCTATTTTCCTGTATAAAAAGCTGCTTTACTAATGTATTATTTGAACTTATGGAATTTAACCGTAAAAGAAGTTTCGAGATAGGTGAGCAATTATAGCTTTATATGAGGACTGCAAATAGAAAAATCAAGAATTATGGGTATTTCTACGAATATTATTTTTTCTATTTATTTCAATAAAAAAATATTTTAATGTTATATAAAATAATATTTAATTGTTAAAAACAAATTTCTATTCAATTAAATACTAGTTCATTTAAAATAAATAAAATTTTCTAGAAAAAATGGTCCAATTGAAACAGCCATTGTCTAAAATTAAAAAATCGATTACAAGTACTTATCCTACTTTCCCTCAATTCGCATAATCAAGACTGTACCGTACATAGGATATTTCAAAAGGATTGAGCAACTAAATGCCAATCGTAGATCCACGATTCCATTCTAAGAGATGAATCGAATAAAGTAGATTTCCAGATCACAATCGATAATTTTGGTTACATGGTACGTTTTTCGAAAAACCTATGTATAGTTTCAGACTTTTATATGCACTGTTTTCAAAGAAATTTCAAGTTAGAAAGTTTGTTATTATCTTACAGTCTTAAAAAAATGAGGGAAATCTGAAATTGAAAGATGAAATAAAACTGTCAGAGCATTCGAAAACATGCACGTTGGCTATAATGCCATTTGTATAATATCCCCCAATGATACACTTAATGGTAGCTTGGGTAATTTTTATAAAATTAAAACATGGGAAATGGAATATTTTTTGAGACTGTTTTGATTAGTTGGGCTAGAAAAACAATCTTTTTATTGAAATTTGTTTCTGTGGAATCAGTACAAAATTTAAATTTCATATATGTTGACTGAAAATTATTATGCTACCAAACGTTTTGTAGTCTGAAAGCACTACCTTATTTAATTTAAGTTTTAAATTGAAATCATAATTTTTGGACAACTATTGAAGAGACGTTGGTTTTTATGTAAGACAACTTATTGAAACTTCTTGCACAAAAGTAAAATAAAGACGCAAATACACGTAAAGATTAAATATTTTTAAATATTGCATATAATATGTATAATCTTCAGAATAATTTATATAATCTTAAGGAAATATATAATCTTCAGAATAATTATATATAATCTTAAGGAAACGAGAAAAACAGAAGTTTTTGAGCTTGCAATAAAAGGAAATATATAATCTTATATTATATATAATCTTAAGGAAACGAGAAAAACAGAAGTTTTTAAGCTTGCAATAAATGTAACATTTTAAAAATTTTAAATAAACGAAAGACTTAAAAACTGTATTACTGCATTTATAAGTGCAAATGAAGTTCTTATTTAACTTTTGCTTTTAGTGTCTAACAAGGTGTATTCGATCGTGGATTTAACCAGTAATCTGATGTCAGTACTTTTTCAAGACTTGACTGTCATATGCAAAAGCATAAAACTGTCAAAAAAAAATAGTCAGAAGCAGTGCGTCTTACATTCTTTAATTAGATCTCAGGTTAGCTAGTTAAATCATTTTCATGGAATTTTATGGTATAATGAGAATTTAGGGTGTTTGCCATATGCTTTATTAAAAGTAACTAAATTTATTAAAGTCTTTAACTAGTAGCAAGCATCATAACTATTCCTAGACAGAGTTAACTAATGCAAGCAAAAGCTTATTATCACATTAATTTTTTACAGCACAACTCTAAATCAAATGCTTATTTTACGATTAACTGTTCTTACAATGAGCTCTGGTGAATGCATTATTACTTGAATTATGAAGCATGGCGAAAAAAAAATTAAGATACGTTTCAATGTTCATGATTATAATGTGTAGAAAATGAGTATAGTTATTATTCAGAGTATAATTATTATTCATAGCGTTGTAGAGACATTAGGTTAATTGGAAAAGCCGGAGAGATGAAAAATGAGCAAACGCCTTCGCCGGGAATCGAACCGCGGACCTCTGGAATACCCGCCCAGTGTGCAGAACCACTACACCACGAAGGCACGCTAGGAAAGCGGGAGAAACACCTTATAGCGTAATAAGTATATCGAAATATTTTTGTGTTGTAAATTTTATGCTTTTAAATACATTTTATGCTTGCTGCAAAAAATTTTCAAGTGCAAAGTTCAGATTAACCTGCAGATGTTGTTTTATGCCATAGTTCTTATTTTCAAAGCCTCGTGCAACAAAGTTTTAGAAACTAAACCAAACTTCGGATAAAAATCACTATTCTAATTCAAAATTTACTTACGACTTCTCGAAAGGAAAATCTACTTTGGAATCTATATCCGAGAGCTCACGATCAGGCAAACTATATAGAAATTCAATCGAGCATAAGAAGTCAAATTTCGAGAGATTTCAAACATTTATTATATAACATTGTGATTTCTCTGCCAAACTTCTGGAAATGGTTGTTCCACATCTTTGGGTCACGTGTACTATCAGAAATCTAATATAACGAGCAACCACAAAAAAACTCCCAACACCTATCCGTTTTATTTCTCGGAAGAACTTCCTTTTCGTAAAATAATATGTGTACTCTAATCCCATTCAGCCTAACAAAAGAAAAGAAAAAAGACAGTAGTTTTGAAAATAGTGAAGGAGAAAGAATGAAAGATCTAGTTTCTTTCAATTCCGCGATCGAAGACTCGATTCTATAAAATATTCCCGACTTTTACGTGTTATTTCCTTCCGCAAACACAAGGATTCCAAAACAAAAGGAAAGGCAGGAGCTAAAGCCATAGCAAAACTTCTGGATTTCTTTGCTTCTCTTGTAAAAAAAATAACGCATAACACATAAAAAAGGTAGCATAAAATACTGAAAGAAAGCAGAGAAGAGATGTAAGCATATAAAAGAAAGGAATTCTGATAAGCTGAGATTATTACTTTCGCAACCCGAGTACAGTATTTGTGAAATGCTAGCAACACGAAAATGTAATAAATGTGAAAGTTTTAAGTACGTAGAATATGAGAGAAAATGCACAAGTTGAAAATTCCTTGAAATAAGTCGAGATCTTCACTAAAAAATTTTATATGAACAATTTCGAATGCTTATCTGTTGCAGAAAGTTAATAAAATCAAAAACAACGAGTCCTTTGTTTATGATAAGAATTGTACTAGATAGGTTTAATTTCAGTTTATCGGTTAATATCTTAGAATTTTAGATTACAACATGAACTGTAATAGAGTTTTGAAAAATTAGTTTAAACTTTCAAAATGATTTATACCACTGAACTTACTTACAATAAAGTGAAACATTGAATGTCCATAATAATAAAAACAACAAACAGATTAATACAACTTTCCTATGAATTTCAATATGTGACTAGATAGCTGTTTTAAAGCTATGCGATGGCTCGAACTCCAGCAGAAATCCCTTATTATTTGTAAACATCTCCACTTTCCTGCAGTTCCCTTTTGGACAACTGAAGCTATGCGCTAATGGAAACTGAAGGTAGCATTTTGGGTTAGTTAGATTATTTAATTATGGAAAGCACACGAGGTCTATTTGCTTATGAGGAAGGTCGCCTTCGCAGAGGACTTTCTAAGGGAAAACGACTCATAGTCAAACTACACATGGAGAAAGACATGAAATCGAACCATGCAACCAACATTATACGCCTGAATTCGAGCCGGGGTTGAGCTACTTGAATTCAGCTGCCTTAATTGTAATATGAAAATTTATACTTTTATAGAATATATTGTAATATGAAAAATGTAATTAATTTGGTTATTAGTATTTAAAATTAGAATAGATCTAGTTAATGACGAATGTGGGAAAATACTACTGGTAAAGACAGGTGTTCCTATTTGTCGTTAACCAAATTGAAAATTTTGCGCCTAACGCTGTAGTAACCGAAATATTGGTTTCAGCCGTTTGTGCGTCATTTCGTAATAATACATTATTGATGCAATCTGAATGTTTTGAATTACAATTATGTAAGTAATTTATCACACTAAATAATAAAAGCGAACTGATCAAATATTTTCTACTTCGCAACATAAATGCATTTATAAAATTTGTAATTTTAAATGAGTAATTTGTTTTTCTAATTCCTGATTATCTACTGAAGGCAGGAAACATCAGGGATACCACTTTAGAACAGACGATTAATGGGACTTATTCCTTATTTTCCTGTTATTTACTAGACCTACGTAGTTATTAATTGGACTTATTTTTGGAATTCGTAAAACTTACCAGTAGAAAAAAAAAAAGCATTCACAGTTTTCTTGTAATAAACTTTCTTTTACTTAAACATTAAATTCTATGCAATCTTCGTCATTAATTCGGAAATGCATTAATTATCGGAAAGCCTGATATCAAAAGCACTAAAAAAGCATTTACAAAAGTGCATCATTGCAGGTTTTAAATTAGTTGAAACTCTGAACTCGTAACCACAACTCCCTTGTTCAAAAGCATTAAAAGAGCGTTCACTAAAATGCATCAATGCAAGTTTTAATTAGTTGCAACTCTGAACTCGTTGTCCCAACTGAATTGTAATGAAAATTAAACTTTCGTTTAGAAAATCACTGGCAATTGCAGCCACAGAATTAAGAAAATTTAAGGCTTAAATTCCGAAATAAAGTAGTGATAAGTCCTCAAAATTTCTGCAGTTTTCGAAAAACCGTCAGTATAACATCATTCTCTCAAATATTTCAAAATTATTCTTAAAATTATCTAACTTGATAGGTTAAAAATATACTATTATTACATATATTTAAATGCAGAAAAATTCAGCAAGTGGGAATTTTTAACACAAATCGGCTTTCGCACATATACAAAACAAATATATTTGATTATTCACGAAATTTTGTAACAATATGCATTAACCATTTTCACTGATGAAAGACACGTATAAGTTCCATTATTTTACCTTAGATTTCTAATATATCCTAAGGTAACTAAATCCTATTGAAGTTCTTTCAACGATAATAACTTTATTGATTCGCCGAATAACTTTCAATTTCACGCATTTATTCTCCGAATAAATATTCTCTTTCTTCTATCATAAATTAGCTCTTACTGCATTTAAAAAGTAATTGAATCATTTAACGTATCGAAATCCTGTATTATGCATATTCATAATGCAGACTAATCCAATCTTTCAAAAACTATGGAAATTCCAAAATAGGTATTAATGACTGATTGCTTCAATGGATGATACACCTAATGTGTTGCAAGCTGAAATTTGCTAGCTTTAAAGAACGTTTGTTTCGTGCAAGACGGAGATGAGTTTGAACATTTTTTTATGATTGAGCATTACGTTGATACGTATAAATTTGATTACAGTGCCTTCGTTATGACACTCTTTGGTGAGTTGATGGTGATTGAAATATTTTGTTCCCGATTTCGACCATTTTGTTCGAATTCAGAAGAGACAGGTCGTCGCTTCATTTTTTTTAAAGTGAACAAATTCCAGTCCCTCGAAATCAGATTGTCAAGCAGAAAATCAAGTGTTTTGTTATTGGAGAAGGCCTTTTTAAATGCTTCAACAACTTTTCCGTAAGAAAGCTTTCAGTTATAAAAATTTGTTCCTCATCGCACAGTAAAAAAAAAAAAAATAATAATAATAAATAAATAAAAAAAATAAAAACAAGCTTCCTTGCATTATACCAAATACCTTTCATTCATGGATGAAAAAAAAAAAAAAAAAAAAAAAAAAAAAAAAAAAAAAACCCTCCAAAAAAAAATTAAAATCTGAAATGTTTCAGATTTTAAATTACGTCCAAAGGGGCGTTTTTTTAACGTTTTGAGTGTTACCTTTATTTATTAAATATCATGTTCTTTGCACTTAAACCATAAAATTCAGTTCAAGAGCAATATCGCAAAATAATGTTAAATTAAGCATATCTTTAGAATTTCCGATATACACAGTCTCGCGAGCTGGAGATAAAAGTATTTTTTTTTTTATATATAACGTTGCCATTTCTCGCTTTTAAAGCATTGAGTTTGTAAATCAAAAATTCGTTAAAGTTTTACAAAATATAAAATCTATAATAAAACAAATTCCAAATTTGGGATTTCAGATGCCCATATTCGCAGTAGGATTTCGTTATTCAAAATTCGATGGCTTTATGTACCATTGTTTTATCACAATGCGAGAAATAGACAATCATTTATGCAGATTTTTCATTATTTAATTTCTTCAAATATAATGCAGGACTCTAACATTTTGTGGCAACAGTTTGAAAAGTGAACCGACGTTTATGAGTCCGACGCAAAATCGCAAAACGAAAACAATAGTCCTTCAGGGACAAAGCCCCTTTGGACTAAAAAAAGCTAGCAGTCTTGGTACTACATTACTAGCTAGCATTACTTGGTACAGCTGAAATTTTCAGTGGTACATTACTTGCAAAAGTATAAAAGAATTAGTCATTCATACCCATTTTGGGATTTCTACAATTTTTGAAAGTATGAAGTGCTCCTGCTCTTGTATGAATAACAACCTTTCTTTTGATAAACAGAAATGTGATATTTATTACAATGTACATTAAGCGAAATTAAAGTTTAAATTCCTTTTGGATAAGGTTCATGCTGGCTGCAGTATCTCCAGCTGTTGTTCTTCCAGTTATGCTGAAACTTCAAAAGAAAGGCATCGGGACAACCAATGGAATACCAACGTTAGTAATAGCCGTCGCTGGAATAGATGACGTTGTGGCACTCACTGGATTCGAGGTTATACTTGGTATTACTTTTGCCACAGGTGAGAAACAAAATACCGAATTGACTCGCATATTTCCTCCTTATTTTTTTCAACATGTTATTTAGAAACTTGTGACTGGACAAAGTAAAATGTCTGCCCAAATAGAAAATTATTTTGCGTAAGTAAAAAAATATATTACTTAAATTGATAAGTCCTCTGAAATACATAACATAATAATATTAGTGTGTCTTCATGTGATTTGATTTTGAATGTTGTGTGTTTATCACTTACGTCGTTTCTTCAAGAATGGTACACGCCGAGTATTTTTCCACTCCTGATTTTGCAGCGGTAAAATAGAAGTAAAAGAGAGGAAATACGGGAGTAAATTAAGTAATCTCCTATCAGTTAATTAACTGCGAGGAAATCTTACCCATCATGCAAAATAGAAATGGTGTCCTGTAAAAAAAAAAAAAAAAAAACAGTTTTCATCAAAAATCTATGCTAATGTAAAAAAAAAAAAAAAAAATTCAATTAAAAAAATTAAATAAAACAACTATAGATAGTGATAATAAATATGCGTCTCAGAATGAATTATAATAAAGATTTTCTTTCTTTATTATCTTGATGTTGTTACGTGCGTACGGGTTCGTAATGGATTTAATGCATACAGAATTGATGATAGCGTGATAAAATTTATTTTTGCAAAAGAAACACAATTCGGGAACTTTTCACAAAAGGACTTGGTACAGCTCTTCTCGCATCACGGAGCACAATCAGTAATTACCACTTCAAACTACTAAGAATGTTAAACACAGAGCAATGCAAAGCGTAAATGAAGAGCGAAGCTTGCACGAAGATCTCTCAATACTTCGAAAGCCACTCTAAACTGAAAACACAAAGCTGATGCTCTTTCTAGCTTATTTAGTTTTTGCAGGCCGCCAGGAAATCTCCAGTACCTTCCATTTCTGGAAATGACTGGAAAGTATATACGGTTAAGTTACATATAAGGGCCATATACGGTTACAGTTACATATAGGGATCAACTATAGTAATTCAGTTATAGTACTAATTACAGTTATAAAAGAACTGGACTGAAATGTCGCCAAATGGTCACCACGTTTGCCGACAAAAATTAGCCGCCAAAACCATTCGCCAATTTAGCGACAGTTTAATTTACTTCAATGTTAGACTTGCCCCTGTAACCTTATTTTTCTGGCAAAGTTTCCCTTTCTTAAGACATTTTATGTTTCACTATACAAGAGATACCACTATTTAATGTATAATATATACAAAATTCATAATAATATTACAGTTTAGAAGCGTTTTATAGTCTTAAAATGCTGCACAGAAACACAAAATATTCAGTGAAATCGTTCAGTCAAAACACGAGTCTGTAAAACATATGGAGTATCTGCCCTTACATAAAATATTATATAACAACATTCTACTCTCATTATGCTTTGAGGGGTATAAAATGTTTGTATATTTCTCTTAAAAGTATATTTTTGATGGAATAACAGATCAGCACTTTTATATGGAAATGGCGTATGGGCTGAATTTTACGACCGAAGAATCATTAGAATAGCTAATTAAAATCGCCAAAGAACATTCAAACAAAAAAGAACCATATCTGACGCTAGTAACGCTATGGTAGCTTATCAATTTTCTCTCGATGACACTACGGTCACAGCACATACCTGAAAATATGTAAACGAATTTTATAGGGAAATCAGTTCTAACTAAATGAGAAAGGTAACATCTTCCTTTATTATCAGCTAATGAAATATAAGTCACATCTATTTCAGCAGCATTTGAGTTTATGTTACTAAACTAAGCCTTCTTTATGTGTATATACGTAAATCATGTTTTAACGCCTAATGTTTAATAGGTTGATCAGGTTTTCATATATTGTGAATCAAGTTTTAAAGAATTCTAAAATTCCTCCACTCAGGGAAAGCATGAAATATATTATCCTCCAACAGAAAGGCCACATGCACAAAGAGGTAGCTCACTGATCTGCATAACATAAACAAGTGTTGAAGGGCTCCCCCTTCTCAGAAACTATAATTTCAACTATGACCTCAGAGCAGAAAGAAAGTATACTTTCAAGCTCTTCTGTGCTGAGTTACCAAACACCGAAAATTCACCCAAATGCAAATTATGTTGAAAGTTTAATGATTTTTGGTTTACCTTGTATATAAATATATTAGTTACCTTCATCTCCTATACTTAAATCTCGTAAATGATGACATTTTATCGTATTCTTATATGCACGATTTTCATTTATACGATATCCAGAATGCATATAGAAACTAAAGAATTTCTCACTTGGATAATTTCCAATTTTCGGTGAATTTTAGACGCATGGCAGTCCTATTATCCTTCACCTGTCAAATAAAGAGAAAAGCTTTGAATTAAAAATCTGACAACAGCACATTTATTTCCCGCATTTTTTTAGAAACTGTTTTGGTAAATTGCTCCATGTTGAAAATGCATTGTTACTACGTCATTCGTTTTTTTTTTCCATAGTATACCGTAATATCTTATATAATGAGTATTTTTTAAATATGAATGGCTGTTACTTTTACATGTTTTCTGAGTGTTAGCTTAATTTCCTTGTAGAGTTAGTATATGTCATCAAAGAATTGATTCAGGTAATTATTTATCGATTTCTGTTTTCTTAATTAAGATATTGCTGCACTCGTACAGGTTCGTAATGAGTTGAATGCATATAGAACCTATAATTGCTTGATAAAATTTATTTTACCAAAAGAGACACTGTACAGTTTTGGAACTGTCCACAAAAATACTCGAACCTCTTCTCAGTATGACAGAATATAATCAGCACTTACACTTCAAACTACAGAGAGCATTAAAAAAAAAAGCGCAATGCAAAGCGCATCTAAAAGGAGAAGCTCTCACCGATATTTCAATACTCCGAAGTCAGCTCTGAACTAACAATTGAGAACTGATGCTCTCTCCGATCTAATCCCGGCGGCCGTGAAATCTCTAGTACTTTCTATTTCTCGAAAGTTGGAAGGCATATACGATTAAAATAACATATAAGCGTTAGATACGATTACAATTACATATAGGGATAAATTACAGTTATACAGAGACCAGACTAAAATGTTGCAAGCTTAGCGACTTTTGTCACTTTCACACCAAATTTGATAATAAAAATTAGTCGCCAAAATCATCGGCAACTTAGGGATATCTCGCCAATTTAGCGAGACCCATTTACCTCAATGTTAAATAAATTTCCCAGTTAATCTTATTTTTTCCTCAGAGTCCTCAGTCTCTTCGGACATTTTATGTTACATTATACAAAAGATATTACAGTTTCATACATAATTTCACTAAAATCGTTTACGTATATATAAAATTCGTAAAACTACTATGTGTGCACCTTTGTATATTTTAATACAAAAATGTACAAGCAAATTATTCCGTCAATGAATCTCACTACTCGAAATACGGAATATTTTTATTAGGAACACTATTACACTGAAGTCATTTGATATAATATTCTTATAAATTTTTTAGATAAGTTGCCGGTAAGCAAATAAAAAAAATATTGAAACAAAAGAAAATCAATATGTAACAAAAAAATCCATTCTTATTCTGCGAATTTCGTAGGCATGGCAGAAAATGTTATGCTATATTTAATATAATAGACTGTAGTATTTTTCCCAAAGGGATAAAAGAATGAATGTAATTCGCATTAGGGATTTTACCAAAAGGTGGTTATTTACAACAAATTATTTATTTTTTAATTCAAAGCTATTTGTTTCATTTCTCTTTAAAATATATCAGAATTATGTTTTTAATATTTTTTCAATTTAAAAATTTAACGTTCTAAATTATATGCAATTAATTGCTGTTGCAACACATAAATGTTATGTATATTATACAAAAGCATATTTTTGAATATGATACTATTAAAAACAATTTAATTTTACTACATTAGGATTTCTTATGCACTAAAGTATATTCATATTTGCTGCTGATTTCAGGTAGTTTAGGATGGACTATAGCTCAAGGGCCTTTGGAAGTATTAGTTGGCATTATTTATGGTGTGCTTCTGGGTTTCATTTCATGGTACATACCTAATCCTGAAGAGGTACATAGTCATTTATTTTTCAAAAACATGAACTAAAACATTTCATTACATTAAATATTATACAATTTCTATTTCCTGCAAGATATAGCCTATTCGGAAAAGTGAGGTATAACATTTTATCTTTGTTAAAATTGTTATTAACTTTTACAAAAATTATTTATTTATAAATTTACGCAAAATAATTCATGAGAACGTATTTCTTTAGAATTCTGTAACTGAAGAAACAATTTCAACTTAATTTGGCCCAACAATTATGTTTGATAAAAATGCAATCAGTACGGTTCATTTATTAATTATGCTCCACTTAGCTTCTAGTTCCGCATAAAGCAAATATCCTTTAATATTTTAGGTATAGATAACTGACACGAATGCGATTACTTCTGAATTTTCGGAAACATCATGGTATGAGGGAGATTCATGAGAACTAGAATATTTGAATAAGTTTCTTATTAATATTAAGTAAGTATCAATAAATAGAAAGAGAAAAAAGAAAAAAATACTTGAAATTTGATTTCCCAGATTTCAGCTTTACCCCTGAAGGCTTCAAAATTAACGCCTGAAATAAAGGCTCGATAAAAATAATTCTAAAGGAATTAAAATCGTTAAAAAATGCAGTTTAAATATAAATCATCTAAAAACTTAAATACAAACTTTTATGTAAATTTGAGATTTGTTGCAAATTTCCTTCAGAGCACAGCAATTTTAATGATCAGAAATATATTACTAAACATTGTAAATAATCGGATTTATTTATTCATTTCACAGTCAAGCAACTCTCAGGATCTAATTCGGTTAATATGATCAAAATATTATAAAACAATTTTTTTAAACTGAAATAAAAATGCCAAACAAAGTCAAAATACACTGCTGGCAGTTAAAATTGCAACACCAGGAAGGAATGATCTGACGAATGTCCAAATCACATGAAAGGAAGAAGAGGTTGGGATATGCAAATGATTAGTATTTCAGTGCATTTCGACGACGCAAGAGGAAGAAACGACATCTGAAGTATTGCATAAAAGACAAGTTGTGTAGTGGATTTCTCATTCGGAAAGCGCTTTGTAAGGTAGAGGTTTGCTCGGAATATCGTGTTATGCCTCGAATAATAATAAGAAATGCTTACCAGCAAGTATTAAAATTCGATAGAGCAGGATCGTTGCCTTACCGAGAGTGTGGATTATCGTACCGCGATATCGCCCGTCGCACTGGTCGACATCCAATCACTGTCAGGCGAATACGGAATCAATGGGTTGCTGAGGGTCATACTGAACGGCATGCAGAATCTCAACTACCGCCCATGATTAACGCCCGAGAGGACAGACATATTGTGAGGTCAGCCCTTCGAAACGATACAACCACATCCCGGACCATTAGTCAAGAAATGGGCATGTTTGCAGCACGCCCAGTATCCCCTCATATGATGCGTCGACGTTTGCAACAGCGTGGACTATCAGCACGATGACCATTACTTCGGCTTCCTTTGACAATGCAGCATAAAGAGAGACGGCGACTCTGGTGCACCAAACTACAAAGCTGGATAAAGAAGCGACACAATGTCGTCTTTTCAGACGAGTCCCGGTTCTGCGTGCACTATTCTAGTGGCTCGCTCCAAGGAGACTGCACGAAGCCTGCTTGCATTCTATATTGGCTCAGGGGCCCTGCACCTGGTGTGATGGTTTGGGCAGCCATTGGGTACACGGTACGCACTTCAAATCGGCAATAATTTGACGCAGATAGGTACATTTCTCACATTTTACGTCCTTTGGTTGTGCACTATCTTCAAGACAGGTCAAACTTCATCTTCCAACAAGATAATGTAAAATCACATGTTGCACGTCTTGTTCTGACCTTCCTCGATACACAGAGTATTCGACTGCTGTCCTGGCCTGCATGATCTTTAGATCTATCACTCATTGAAAACATCTGGTCATGGGTTGCTTGCTGAGAGATTGGCCCGCCACCCCTCTCCAGCTAATACGGTTGATAAAGTGTCACATAGACTTGAAACATCATGAAACGAGTAGCTTGTTTCTGTCTTCCAAGCATGCCTAACCGGGTAAGGTGCGTTTAAACTGCCAGAGGTGGCAGCTGTTTCTACTAATTTTGCACCCCTGTAAGCCCCCAAACTGCTTAAAAATTTAATAATTTTGTCTTCATGCCGCAATGTTTACGTATAATTAATATCATCTTTGTATTTGCTTTCATTCATGGTTTTGCAATTTTAATAGTCCGCAGTGTAAAATATAAAAATTGCTAAGTGACAGAGAAATGTCGCCAAGTAAGGGTTAAGTCGCCAAGCTTTCGATTTCAGTCAATCATTTAAAATTAGACAAAAAAAGCAACATTACATTGATGTAGATTTTGATTAACTCTATCGATTTTGAGGGCAATCGGACATGCATTAGTCTTTTTCAGAAACCAAAAAAAGAGGGGAAAATACTCAGAATTTTCTTCTTATCCTGTTTCGAGTATGAGTAGTATAGCATCAATTAAACAATTTCCAGAAACGTTTTAAATAAGCGAACTTTACATTAAATATAATATGAAGAGTTTATAAGCAACTTGTTCATTTTCCTTATAAAAATGCAAAGTTCCTATTTATATCAAAGTTCCTATTTATATTTATGTTAAATTAGTTAAATTCCATTGCTATTTTGAAGGATATTTTTTCTCATCGTTTAATGTTACCAAAATAGACGCGAACGAACGTGATCATATTTAGCGAGGCCCACTATAGTAACTTTTTAAACTACACCATAATTACGATTTTTTAAACATTGTGAATTTCGCTGCTAATATTTTCAAATAACTATAATGTATCCCGATAATATTTTCACATACGCCTCATTCTTCAATTCCGCAGAAAAGCAAATCTGTGTTTCGTTTTCTGATACTCTGTTTCGGAGGAACATTCGTTCTTTTTGGCAGTCAAGCACTAGACTGGGGAGCAGCAGGAGCACTAGGCTGTATATGTCTTCCTTTCGTTGCTGCCATACGATGGAAAACGAAAGACTGGGATGAAGATGACGTATGATTTAGTTTTTCCTCTAATTTTTTACAATTATATAGTAATGTTTAGAAAATGGCAAAATATCGTTATTCTTTTGACTCTAGAATACTGAAAAACATGAAATACTGTATTTCAAATATTTCACTCCCCCTTTTTTTTAACTAATTTTGCCGTCCGAAAATCGAGAGGGGAAAACTGTACGAATCATTTAATTTCCGAAAGACGCGGTAACAGTAAGAACATAGCAAATAAAAAGTAGTCATGGATAAATTACAGGTACCTATAAAAATAATATTTCTTTAAAAGAAATCGACATTCCAATAAGAATGTAGTAATATTAACATTACAATACCTGATAGGATATCTTCATTTCTACATCCCTGTCACTTGAATTTCACCCGTTCTTATTGTTTTCTCTGCTACGTCTTAGGCCTGAAATCATCCATAAATAATTTGAGAAGGTTAACGTGCAGCCGACAACGCGAAATCAAATACTGAATGTCAGTTCGTGTTTCCTTCGCTGTGATGGGTAATTCTTATACTAGGCTGACATAAAATTCAATAGTTAGAAGATAAATGTTCGGCCTGATCGGTAGTTAGAGAGGGTTTTGACTAGTTATACAAAAACAATCACTACATACACTGTTTTAAAATGGGAAAAAAAATTAATTTAGGGGAGCTCATTCTCTCAACACAACGAAGAAGAGAAAAATTACGTGGATATTTTTTTTAATTTTTTAGAGCCTGGCGGTATAACACGCATGGAAACACGATAATAGCACTAAAGGTACTTACTATAATAACAATTAAATGATAAATTTGTTTCTGTATGTATACTGGTTTGTGAACGTATATTGTATAACACAATTTCTTATATTCTAGTTTATTTAAGATTCACACAACGTTCGAATGGTTACATTTAAATGTTTATTGTTTTTCATCAACGAAAATATTTTACCTCAAAACGGACGCCTTTAACACATATAACAATGCACATACATATGAAAGATCTTTCATTTTAATATGCACTAGAAATATTATATTCAGTTTTCCCGAGTTTCTCCATCTATTCCTTTCCCCTGAGCTTCGATATTATTAGATTTATTGCATTACGCCCGCTTTTACACTCGCTACAGTATGATATAATTTTAAAACTTTCGTAAGAAAAATAAATTTTTATGAAATATTTCCAGTGCTTCCACCGCACGATCCATTTAATATTCTCCAAACGAAAATGCGAGCATAACCCTTCTTTATTTTTTTTTTTACATCTAAACTGAAATTCCTTTCTTCAGCATTCACATTTTCTGTTCATACTTCAGTATTCAACATTTCAGAATCGTTTAACGTATCTCTGCATTTCTAGTGGTATAGAAAACTCAAAAATAAAATCTGCTATGTGTTCAGCTTATAAAAATGTTCTGTACTTACTCCAGTATTCAAAAGCTAGGGTGGTAAATACGAAAATCGGTATGTTTGTTATTTAATTCTTCTGCTATTAAAAGAATTGCTTCTCATCAGAGAGACGATTATCTCATTTTTCTTCCAGTGTGGGATATGCTTTTCCATCTTATAAATTACTTTTTTAAGGTGCATCCTAAGCAACTTCCCCCATCCTTGCCAAATATTTCCGCATAGCACTCAATACCCCGTTTTTACGTTGCGTCTTTTTCAAAATATTTCACCACCAAAGCTAGATGATGATACACATAATATAAAGAGATTCGAAAGACAAAAACGCTCACTAGCTCAGGTGATGATATATGTATATAATGAGATTAGGAAGACAAAAACGGTTGGGATGAATTAAATTTTGATTGTGAAACAAACTCTGATACGAAGTTGCAAACATCGATGGATCAGGAGAGTCAGAATCCGAAAGTGGCAGAAAAGAAAATAACAGCATAGCTGCAAATAAATACACTGGTAGACAATTGCTCAATACGGATCACAGACGCCTACTAGTACGTTAAAAAGCGTGTTTGGATGCCTAGTGAAATAAAATAATGCCAGAATACTAGGACATAAAAAATTATTTTGCTCTTAAACCTAGAAGCCTTTGAAAAGTGACAAAATTATCATATTGTGCTAAATAAGGAAAAGTGAAAAAAAAAAAAAAAAAAAAAAAAAAGCAGTTACCGTCCACAGGCATTTTGACGTAAGATACGGGATATGGTCCCCACAGAGGGCAATGTAAGATTCTACACGTCGTGTCATACTTTGCACAACATTATCCCACAGCTGTTGGGATAATTTATTCCATCTCTCTGTTACGCATGAAGGAGAGTGCTCTTGTTTATTGGAGGGCATTATCGACCAGCAAATCTTTTCCCAAAGCATCCCAAACATTTTCAGTGGGATTCGAAATCTGGACAACATGCTGGTCATACGATCATTGAATATCCTTGCTCTCTAGATACTCCTGGACATCGACTGTTCGATGACACATTGCGTTGTCGTCCATGAAAACAAATTTAGCACCGATAGCACTATGGATCATGCGGAAGCAATAGAACATCATTAATGTACCGTTGGCCAGTCATAGTTCCAGTTTCAACCACATGTAAGGGCGTGCGGCCAAAATTGATCATAGTGCCGGTCCATACCATGATATTGCATCTCGAATACCAGTCCTTTCCTGGATATTTTCTGGACGATAAGCAGTACCAATCTCGCACCAGGATCAGTTGGCATCCGGTAACAGACAACCAGCATTCATTTAAGACTAGTAACAAACCCAGTTATGTTTAATCCGGTTACGACGCTCCCGATACTGTTGCAAACGTAGGGTACGTTGCTGTCTGGGCAATGGAATGCACGCAACAGGACGGCGGGCTTATAATCCCCCTTGATGGAAACGTCTGGCCACCGTTTTTCGGAAGATTCGCTTGGCAGTTAGCAGCAAGTAACTGATTTGCTATCGCAATAGCTCTGCTGCACCGGTTCCTTTTTGATAGCACCATGCATTATTTTCTAAAGGCGTCGCATTTCGAACATGACCTCCCCGTGACGCTTGCTACACATTCCATTTGTTTGAAATGATTTCTACAGCCTTGAAAGAACACTGTGGGTTACGTCGAACTCCCTAGCAACATCTGTTATTTTTGTCCTTTCTTCAATGTTGCCAATAATACGGCCACGCGTAAAATCATTATAAGTGATGTCGGGAAGACATACCGAAAATTGCAAGTTCGATAATTTATTCTTTCCTGTTAAATTTTGCTTTTGAACAACAAATGTCAATACCCGTCAAATTCTCTATCTCTTTTATCAGCGCATCACGTGACGAGCAACATCGGCAATCCAAAATTTGCATAATCAAAATACGTCTTCTGTACGCCCCACTTACGCTAATTTCCACATTTTCCTGCTTTCCATTTTGTGGTTGCTATCGCTGCTATTAACATCCGTCCTTAGCAATTTTTCACCAGCGTAGTAATAGCGTTGTTAACAAATCGAATTCTATTACAATAAAAAATACTTTTTGATATATTATAATTTTATTGATTTGATTTACTTAAAGTTATCCCTCATTTATAATAGCGAAATTAAGCGAGGCATCTTGTAATAGGTGACGTTTTTTAAATCGCAGAAACATTGTAGATTGGAAGAAGTTAACATAAGTATCAAATAAGTAAAAATTCATCAAACAATATACATTACAAAATGTATTTTCCTATTAGTTAACTCCTTTTTCCTAATCTAAAAGTTATCTAATAACCAAGTTTATAATTAAAACAAATTTTTAAACCATAGTAATCTTTAACAGAACCCTGTTGGTCAAGCCCTGGCTTTTGTATGGAGAATCATAGAACCTTTCTTGTTCGGCCTCATTGGATCTGAAATCAGAATAGACTACTTACAACCTAGCACTATTGGTAAGTTATTATTTCATATGTCAATTTAGCATCATGAAAATTTATTTCTTGCCATTTCAACACAATAAAGAACACTGCTGTTGCAGAAACTAATGCTAAATTACAGTTTGAGCATAAAATTAACAATCTTTCGAAATTTAGGAGTAACTTGGAATCAAGCCTCGATTTTGGCTCAGGGTTAGTACAAAAGCCGAAATGTTTCAAGCTCCTTTATAGCACTCTGACACAGCATATGTATCTCACTAGAGTCTACGCAACTTGAAGCAAGAGTAGTCAGCCTCACAAAAATGAACATACTGTATCGTGCTCATACAGCTATCAATCATCACTATTCCACTAAGAATTTCAAATGTAAACAAATGGTGACCTCGTCAGGCTTAGTAGCACTTGAAAAACTTTTAAATTGTTGATGATAGTAGAGGAAAAAAGGAGAGTTCTGGCTCGGGAGCTTTAGGGAGCCGGAGTTGAGGGAGCTCCCGAAATAAGGCTCAGCCTGGAGGACCTTATCTGAAATGGGGACAGGAAGCCTTATCAGGAAGTGGATTCGGTAAGTTGTTGCTACGTCACAGAAAAAGGACGTGTGCTTAGATTATTTCTTTTTAATTTGGTGTTTAGGTATTTAGTAGTTATATGATAATTTTAAACTTGCTTATTTATATTGAGTTCTTAAACGTATATCAAGTAGGTGTTTAAGTGACTGCTACGTTATTTCAGAAACAGATATAAAATAAATGTTTTCCTTCACATCTTTGGAAAATAATTTTTTCTTCTTGTTTTATTCTATGACTAATATCTGCAAAATTGCTACATGTC